TGCCCTTGGCTGTATGAAGCCATGGACTATCATATCTTCCGGGCTTGTGGTTTATTGAGAGTCTCTGCGACGACCTTCTTCTGTGTCTGGAGAACTTCCAGCAGCATCCCTCTGTCTGCTCCCCTGGACACCAGGTGAGTATATGGCACAGCAGAAGCCACGTGGTTACCAAAGGACACAAGGCAGGTGAAAGCCAAAAGAACAACCGAGTATGGAGCTAGAATGACTGGTTCAAATTCACCATGCAACCTAGTCTCCCTCTGGACTGCAAGCCAAGAAGTTCATTTACACCACTGTGATTGAGCTTTTCTATTAATCAGTGAAGTCATCTAATGAATACAACACTCTATAAAAGATGGTGTCTGGCTGGGGACACTCAGGAATTTTATCAGAATATCTGTCTCCAGGAACCTCTTATTCCACATTGCCTATCTTCTTTTGCAAAATAAAGTGAATCTGGTTTTCAATCTGTGCTTAGCCCTGTGGATGGGATCCCCTTGCCCTTTGTTTTATTTGCATTGCCTTTTACTGCCTCACTTGGCCACAGCTCCCAATGGTCAAGATCATGGACATCCTGCTTGCTGGAAGGAGCCCCAGGCTCCCTTCTTAGAGGACCCAAGTATTCCAGCCTCTCAGAACCACCCCCAATGTGATACCCCTGCCCAGCTAGGGTCTTCCTGGCCCCTTAACTGGGACTGATTTCATGAACTAAAAACCCTTTGGGGCAGTTTTAGAAAATGTTTGATGTTTTCTGCACCCTACAGAGACCCTGGGTTATTGTTTCTAAAAATGATGCCTTCTGACTACCAGTGGAAGAATCACTAATCAGAATCAGATGCTTCCAATTCAGATTTACAGACCTGCTAAATAGTATTTCTGGCATCAAGCTATGTGAGCTCTGTTTTTCACAGTCCAACCATGGGTATCTCACATTTTGGATCACCCCAATGTCAGCTCAACTTGCCGCATCGGCATCTGATTAAATAGAGGTCAAGGCAGTAAGAGAGGAGGCTAAGAAAGAGAAATTAGGAAGATGAAGGAGAGTGGGAAAGTGGAAGTATGATCTAGAGACGCTGGACTATTTCAGGTATCGTCGTGGAACTGTGCTTCAGGCAGACTTACTAGAATCATGATAACCATTTGTTTTCCAGTTTCTTTGTGCATCTACTAGGTTTTGTCTTCCAGCATTATTTGTACTCATATAGCCAAGAGGACAATGGAACCCGCTACAAATCATAGAGTCAACAACGATGAGGTGAAAAATGTCCAAGATCCAAAAGTCAAAGCAAACTTTTGTTACCTGCATATCTACATATCACAAAAATTTTGCCTAAAGTTGTCATTTCACAAATGCAAAATAGGTTTTCCCAAGTTTATGTCACAACTTAACCTCTAGTCCATATTTTTCATTTCATAGTTTGTGTGGCAATATACTTTCTTTCTCATCTTTCCTTATGAAATATAGGCTTCCTAGGGGCTGGCATGATAAAATGCAGATTGTATGGAAAATTATGTCTGTAATTTCTGACTCTTAACCAGAGTTAGAGCACCACTGAGGAAAAAAAAATTGTTAGGTAACTCCCCCAAATGATTGATGGATGAAATTTAAAACTTCTTCTAGAATATAGATCTACCCACAATGGACTTTTGACAAGCCATTTTCTCAAACTCTCCTTATATTCATAGTTCATCCTTTTGTCTTTTCTATAATAATATCTATATATTCTTTCCTGTCCCACTACTGCAGTTGTGGTAGGAAATTTTGAAATTAAATTAGTCTGAGATCTTGGTTCGTTGGCCATCCTATGTTCTGTGTCATAGAATTAAAAGTCCACACATCAGATCATAGTAGACTTTTTTAAACTTCTAGTTTTAAAATTACATGTGGTATTTATACACAATGGAGTACAATGTCATAAAGCAAGATGAACGTGACTGATTTGTAGGAAAATGCATGCCCCTTTAAACAAATGTAAAGTGAAATGAATCAGACACACAAGCTTAAATATAGCAGTTTCTCTTATATGAGTAACACAAACTATACATAAAAAGCAAAATAAAAAGATAGATAGTAATGCCGGGCGTGGTGGCGCACACCTATAATCCCAGCACTCAGGAGGCTGAGGCAGGTGGACTGCTGTGAGTTTGAGACCAGCCTGGACTACATAGTAAGTTCCAGGTCAGTCTCAACTACAGAGTGAGACCTTGTCTCAAACAACAAAACAAACAAACAACCAAAAAGATAGATAATAGAAGTAAGGAGATAGACCCTTCTCAAAGGGAAGGGGACCAAGACATGAAGGAAGGGGCAGAAAGTGGCTGAAAAAAGGAATTGGGATGTGTTATATATGTGTACCAACTCCCACAAGAAATGTAAACATTATATACCACAAACACATACTAATAAAAATTTTAAAATAAAATTACATTGGAGCAATAACCATCAACTTAACCTGCTCTGAACTTTCAGGTTAGAACTAGAAGGTCAGAAGTTGGACTCTGAACCTTCTGATCACCAATATCACTTACATTTTTTATTCTTTTGCTTGGTGCATCCCAAAGTAGCCATATATCCAAGTCAGTTGAGGAGTTTGTTGAAAAATACAGATTTTGCTGATTCACTTCCGAAATAAAGAAACTGGCTTTCAGGATGTGCGGATTAACTAATGGTCAACATGGAACACCAAGCTAAACTGAATCAGTGTGGTCCAGGCATGGAAGACCCACCTGAGGATTGTTGCCAACAGAATAAAAAGAGAATTGGAGGGGAAGACTGAAGGTTGTTGATTTTCTAGAAGCAGCTTGCTGCAGTTGGCTTTCCTGATGTGAAATTGGCTGTTCTTGTCAGAGTAGTTCTGGTCCTCGCTGTTGCTGGGAATGGCTATTGTTCTCATCAGGGGAACTTGGATCTTCACTGTGAGCAACAATCACGGCTGCAGTATCGTTCTCTCAGCCTGGTGGCACAGGTTCTTTACCCCACTGGCACAGGTTTTCTGGCTTCTCCCACTGGCTTTTGGGCCTTCTGGGGTACAGATACTTGATTTAAACTTGCATGAGACATTGCTGTGGGCTCTAGCCCACTGGCTAGCTATTTGGAGGTCATTGTCTTGGGCTCTAACATTCAGCTGGACTTGTGCCAGACAATGCTGTGAGATCCAGGCTCTTGGCTGGATTCTTTGGGTCTCTAGTATATGGTTAGATCTCTTGCACTCCTCTGCATTTGACTTTTTGGGTGGATATTATAAAAATAACCCTATGAATTGTGTGTCCTATATTAAATCTATTTCCTTTGCAAAACCTGACTACAACACTGGGGCTAGGGATCCAGAAGTCTGATTTTTCTACAAGCTTCCCAAATGATTCTCAGGCAACCTCCAAAGACTCATCAGCTGTAGACACTTGGGAAGCGCTTCTCTGGTTCAGGAATTTATCCATGTATCAGAAGCACTTGAAGGCCTTCAAACACATAGATTGAACCTTAGTTTCTGATTCATTGGGTCTGGGATGATTTTGAGAATTTGCATTTCTAAAATGTTTCTAGGGAATGCTGTTAGTGCTGGTCTGGGGACCACAGAGAATCTGGCCCTAACCTAGGTTACTTGTGTACAGATTTATTATTCATTAGCATTCCTATGTTGTAGGCAAAGACCATGCTTCAGAAGAAACTATAATCTCAAGTCACAGGTAACAGACCTGGATGAGCATCAAAATCATGCAGAGTTTTTTTTTGCTTTAACATTCAGTTATTGGGGTTAGGCTTGGACTTCATCTCAGATCTGCAGAATCAACATTTCCAGGAGTCCCTGAGAATTTATTTTTCTTATAAAGTTACCCAGAAGATTCTGACTTATGACAAGGATTTGAGACTATCTTCTTGGATTAGCCAAACTTGTGAGGTCATGAATAACTTAAATGTAAATAATTGTGTATGGCCAAAAACTAAAATTTAATGAGGCATCCTGTATTTTATTTTTTACATCTGGCATCCCCTGCTTCCTTGGCTGTCTTTGGCAGGATTTTTTCTTTTTTTCCTCAGTATATTCCCTCCTCTGCACAACATACCCCTATTTTAAATGCTTAAGGGAGTAGAGGTGAGTTAAACCCATCCTAACATGATATATGAAAAAATTAAGAGTTTTCCTTGGGAAAGGATATATACATATGTACACAAACATATACACAGACACAGGACACACACACAGACACACACAGTGGGAGAGAGATACATTAATCTAGACAGCAGAAACAAAATCAGAAAAAAAATTACAGTCTGTTAATGGTTTTTTACCAGACAATTCACCAATGACACAATCAAAAGAAACCCCAGGGATTGAAAAGACACCACAGATGCTATTAAAATGTTCCAAGTGAAAGCCATGTATAATTAACCTTGAAACAAGCACAAGCTATGAAACACAAATACTTCAAGGTGCTGAGTGAAAAGGTATATAATTCTACAGTAGGCTTCAAAACTGATGTTTCCAGGTGAGGCTAAGCTTGGGCCAAAGACAGGGAGATAATTTTGTCTGGCCTACCTCGTTTTATGGAAAGGTAAAGAGTAGTAAGATGAAAGGCTACCAGTTCAACAAGGACGAGACAAGACAAATATTGTATAGCCCCGTATCTGACATCAACGTATGATTACGCAGAGTCAGAACTGAATAAATGGAACACCAATCAAAACAGAAGAAAAATTCACTGATACAGAAGACAAAAAAAGCAAGGGAAGTGTCTTCAAAATCATTGCCAAGGCAAAGTATCCATCATTAGCCTCAAAGTACCTTCAAAGAAAGGAGCTTTCTCCTTTAGCAATCTTCTTATATGTTAGGGGTCAGCAAACTTTTCGTGTAGAGGGATAGAGAGAAACGCCTTTAGACTCTACATTGCATAATCTTTGCTGTAGCTACACAACCTTGCTGTTGTAGCATGAAAGCCGACACAGACATAACATACATAAATAGATGTAGCTGTGCTCTAATAAAACTTTATTAACAAAAGGTAAGCGTGGAACGGTTTGGACTTATGTCCCACAGTTTTCCAACCTATATGGGTTGGAAACAGATATAGATGAGACAGACATATAACAGATGAACCTATATGACCAGGATATCTTCATCAGTGGGCCCTACAGAGCAGCCAACATTCTAACAGTGAATGTTTAGTAGGAGAAAAAAATTCCACTAAATCATCACTACACATACAGGGGCACTGTGTTAAAGGTCACGTCAAAGTGTAAAGGCAGGAAATCAGTCTTCTAGAAACAGAGAGAAGATATTCATTTGAAAATTTGAGATTCTGTTATAAAGGAGGAGACATTAAGTCCAAACATTTCAACATGTGTTTAGAGAGGGTCTCTTCGTGGGCTTGAAATTCAGGAAAAAGGTGAGAGGGTGGGGGAGAAGGGATGGCCTGTCATTGCCTCTGACCTAGAATCTTTAAACCTTTAACCTATTTCTGAGAGTGCACCTTGAAATAAATCTTTCTCCTTGATCAGGAAGGTTTCCTAATCTCTTCAATTCACTAAGTTCACATTTAACTTCCCCAAAATTCTTGCCTAGAAAAGAAACACAACCAAGCTACTTTGGCATAGAATTTTATTCTTTAAGCCAGCATATGTCACCCCTGGTACGTGGAAATTCAAGTTCAGTGACATTGGTAAATTTGTCTCATTGTGGGCCTCTGTCAGTCAAGAAACACACAGCATGCATTTACATTGTGTAACTGAAAAGCCTTATTCCCCCCACCCCCACCTGACGACTGGCAAATGGAGTTCACATTAGTTCGAGCAAAAGTTTTCCTAAACAGTTGCCTTTCTCACTGACTACACTGTTGCTGGGTGCTGTGGCTTGCATCTTGAGTGTCCCCCAAGGGCTCATGTGTTAAAAGCTTGGTCCCCAGTCTGCATGCCACTGGGAGGTGGTAGTACCTTCAGGAGAAGGGACATAGTGAGAGGTTTTAGGTAACTGGGGGTCCACTCTCGAAGGGGATCGTGAGAGCCTAGTCTCCTCTCCTTTCCTTCAATGTCACACCATGAGCAGAGTGGCTTTTTGCTCAGTCACACACTCTCTACCATGTGTGCTGCCTCATCACAGGCCTAAAGGCAACAGTAGATCATGGACTGAGACCTTCACAACCATGAGCCACAGTAAACCTTTCCTCATTATGAGCTGATTATCTCAGGATGTCTAATGTAGTGCAGATACTGCTTTCTCACCTGTGGATGAGATTGCAGACACTCAGAGATAACCACAGAAACCAGAGCGCCTGACTAGGCAGCCTCTGAGTGAGTCAGTGAAGTCAAGAAGTCCTTTCAGCTAAAGGCATGGTCAGGCCAGGACTAGCCAGAGTATTATCACTTGTCAACAATACTGACCGGATATTTCCGATAGAACTGATAGGATGCAACCCCCTCTGATGAGGGAGCATGGAACTCAGTCCTTTCGGTCCCTACCAAGACCCCATTCTCAATGCTATGATCTCATGCAAGAAAAGTTTAGCAAAGCAAATCACTGGCTTCTGCTTTGGGGTCCAGTGTACCATCTTCACCAAGTGCAAGACTGATCTTCACTCCAGTGTTCACACAGTTTTTGCCTTGTGCTTTAGAGGGCTAGTCTCTCCCTCTCCTAAAAAAGGTGGCATCATAGCAGTGGAAGCATGAAGACCCAGACAAATACTGGCAGGTAGGGTGTGGTGACACTGCTGCCAGATGTCCTCTGAGCGTGCATCACAGCAAAGACTGCATTTGTGTGGTTGGTGGGCAGTTCTACATTGCAGATCATTCCTTCACAGCAAGACCTGCATTCCTGTTAGAAAGAAAGAGGAAAGGGAGGAGTGAATGAATGATAAGAAGAAGGAAATGGTTAGAAGAGTTTTTCTGAAACACAGGAAAACAGATGAAAGACTGCTTCATCTTCATGGGAAGCATACCATTAGAGTTTATTAGACAGTCTACACATCACCAAAGCTCAGGGTCCTTCCTCTGCAAGGGATCTGGAGGATAAAACCACTTAGGAGTCTTTATCTGCATCAGACTCAAGAATAAGCAAGGCAAACAAGAGGAGGGGAAACTGAATAAGGCTGAGTCACCAAATCTTCGAAAGTTTCATAATGAAAGCACTGAAACAAAATTGAAAGCTAAGAACTTTTTGAATTAGTCATTGATTTTCTTTCTCAGTATTACTTGTTAGGTAATAATAATGATTCTCTGTTGGCTGTGTTCACACCTGATTCCTATCAGCACTGCCACAATAATTTGCTAATTACAACTGAAGAATGCTAGAAAAAAGAAAAACAAAAAAGCTGAGTGCCTAACATCACATTTTCAGAGTGTTTCCAAGGGAACTAATCTCAAAATAGTTCAATGCATACCTAGAACAATCCTTGACCTGAAATGCCCAGCCATTCATAGAGCTTCTAGGATGCTTGAGCAATATACTGGCATCGACTCTAAGCATCTACCATCAGTTCTTCTCAAGCCCGGATGCACATCAGATTCACCTTTAGGATATGTCTGAAAAGATCTTGTGCCCAAGACCTCTACCCTGAGGTTGTTTCAGTTGGTTTAGCATGTTTGCCTACCTCTCCACAGCACACCTTGTAATCTCTTTCCAGCTGATCCTTCTGTAGCCAGAGCTAAAAACCACTGACATCAGGACCATTTTCTGTACTTATAGGCTAAATCAGAGTCTAAAGCTTCGTGAAGTTAACATACTTTCAACTAATTTTATCCTCAAACATTTCAGGATTTCAGGCATTTAAAACGACAAAGAAAATTAAAGAGTTCAATCAATCCAAAATACAGTTCACTGTATTAAACTGAGACTGTCATACTCTCACTTCCTCCTCTGAGTGGGTGAGACAAGGCTTCCTTGGTAAAATGTGGCACTGTTCCCTCTTTCTACCTTCTAGTCTGTCTGTGCAGCATTCCAGATGATTTCTGTCAAGGAAATAAGCACATGAGCTGGGCTCTGTCGTGTTTATTATCTTCTAGTGGATGGATTATCCTTTGGCCACCACAGCTGGATTCAGACCATTCGCCCAGAGCTTGAGGCCTGGGGTCTAATCCTGGAATCTGGTCGTTATCATTCATTTTAATAGCATTATTTCCTTGTCAAAGAATAGAAAGTCCTCAATTTCTCTTAGTCTCTATTTCAGCACTGTAATGGAGTCTTAAAGTCAAAATATGCCCAACGTTGTTTATCCTTCCTACTTCTTCCATGATGCTTAACTTACCATCACCAGCATATGATCTTAGATAGTAACTTTACACATGCACACTCACAATGATCTTTACCGTATGTTCAGAATCTTGGCTGTGGTGGCATCCAACGAAATGACATTCATTTTTGGAGGCACACTTTTTGGTGATGGAGGTACTTCTTCCATGGCTGGTGAAGTGATGAACTGTCAAACAATACTGTGTGTCTAGATAAAAGAAAATTTAAAAATAAAGAAACTTCATTTACCACACTGCAAAACAGACCTCTTAATTGTCATGCTGAGAAATTACTAAATTTCAAGATGAGCCTTGGGTTCCTACATAAGAAATACAATAGCAATGGACTTTGTAGTTTCTAGGTCAGTAGTGGCAAACCTTGGCATGCTTGTTATTGTGTTTTTTCTTTTAAAACAAAAGATGATAATGTAGAGTTTTTTTTTTTCTAAACTAAGACCTCAGTATTCAGATTTGATTGCAGTGTTGGTACTTTACCGTAAGTTTTGGTCGCAGTTTGGCCCTCAGTCTCTAAAAGGTTTGCCATCACTGGGCTAGGTTGTATTTTTATGAAGAAATCAGTTTGTGAAGAGTGTGTGTTTGTGTGTGTGTGTCTGTGTCTGTGTTTTTGTGTGTGTTGAAAATGCAGATAAACAGGCACCCATCCTTTGGCATCAACTAAAGTAGAGGAGGAAAAAATGAGCAAAATTGTTATCAAAACCATAGATCTTCTCATTGAACGTGGAAGAGTTTATGTGTCTGGTTTCCTTCTGTCCCTTGGAAGCACATGTTCTAGAACTCTAAAATCAGATGAAAATTGTGAGTGAAAAGTTCATGGGCCAGAGTACTTGTTGCTGAATCATCACACATTAGTTTCTTCCAGGCCATGCAGCAAATGGTAGTTAAAAGACATTTCCAAGCAAACATCAGTCATCTTCCTTTCTCACCTAATTCTTATTAAAGTTCTAATCTTTCCAACCTGTTTGACTTTTCTTCATCAATGTATTTCCATTTTTCTTTGCTTTTTAAATTAACTCTTACTTTGTTTCCTACCCAATTCCTGGTCTGTATCTGCGGTGTGATTTTTTAAAATGCACTGAATTAAAAATTTTAAAAGATTATTACAGTAAAAGATACCGTCAACCCCCTTCGAAGTAGTTCTGGAAGCCCTTCTTTATGAGTGTCTTTAGGAGGTGTGACCAAAAACATGATGAATGCTGCTGGAAGGAGAAAAGGAAACCAATAGACAGGCGGGTTCGTTAAAAACATTACATCAACCTTATTCAACAAATCCGGCACCATGCAACTTCTGCCTCTTCCCCAAAGTTAAAATGGCTAAGAAAGTTAAATGTTTCGAATCCATTCAAGACATCAAGGCAGCATAACTAAAGACATTCATAAAGAAGACTTCTGAACTGCTTCGGGAAGTGGCAAAAATAATGACATAAGTATGTTCAAAGAAAGGGGGAAGTTAATGGCAATGTGTCTTTTACTGTGCTAATTTTTTAAAATTTAAACATTATGAAACATATGTTTCAATCACATAATGTCATTAGGTTTTATCTATGTAGAGTTAATGTTATACCTTTAAACACATATACATTATTACTTGAGGTTCTTCCAAGAAAATGATTTCACTCAATATCCTAGGACATCCTGCTTTGGTTCTGTATCTCTCCAGAGCTATCCAAGGCCAAGGAAATGCTTTTTAGTTTACTGATCAATGACAACAGTAATGTCACTTAATGGGGGAAAACAAAGATGAGTCTGAAGGTGACAAGACTGGGCTTATGAAACTACCACTGTTACAATGAATCAGTCATGTTAAATTCTTTGGGCTCATTTTCTTTTTGATGAAATAATAATAGTAAGTATGCTTGTACCTTGATAGGGTTATGGCAAGCTTTACATACTATTAAAAAAGCACATACTGGGTATGTACCATCAGCCTTCTAAGTCATGATCACTCAGTTACTTCTCACCATAAGCCTTAAGCTAGTCTACACCAACATCCTCATTTACAGATAAAGAAACTGAAGAACAGTTTCTTGTTTATGGTCACATAGACAGGTCACAGAAACAGGACGTAGGATTCTAACCCAGGCACTTTACTGGAGTATGTGCTCTTAATTAGAAAAGTAAGCCGCCTCCCAGGATACTTAATATTAAACTAGATGGTGTTGCAGAATGCTCTACAAAAGAGCGAATGTTGAGAAGAAAAGCGAGCCACAAAATGTTTTGGAAGAGGCATTTCAATTTATACTCCCCACAACGAAGCCTTGAAAACTGGTAGTTGTGTTCATTCATTCAGAAGATCACATATGTGAAAGTAGGCTTAAAAACTCAGTGCTGAAACCAGGGTAAATAAAATAAGAAATATCATTCCAGTCATGCCCTGTTACACAGAGAACTTCTTGTCACAACACCAACAGACCACAGTAGTACAGCTATAAAGGAGCAAAGGAAACCTGAGATGACAAAGAACAACAGCTGCAGGCCTGCTTAGCCCCAAGAAGTGGTTGATTACTGCTCCCTTAAATAATGATAGAGTGAAAAGTAAAACATTACACCCCCAGTTATAATTTCAGATGGTTGATTTCTTTAGGACCTGACTGGTACATAGTCAAGAATGAACTGTCATGCTGAAATGTAGGGTCATTCTGTGCTAATCTCTCTGAGAGTCCACCACTTCTCAAGGTAAACACGGCAGAGGCAACTCTTCCACTGTTTTGTATCTCTGATATTGTCTTGGTAGTGGAAAGTTACAGTTTCTGGCAGATGTAAGGTTCCAAACCCCAGAAATAACCACTGCGTATTAAAATTGATTTAGTTATGAATGACAAACTGGAGCATTTCACACAGCCCTAACAGGAACAGAGCTTCTGGTACAATTAAAAAGATAAAGCTGGGTCGGGGATTTAGCTCAGTGGTGCCACCACCTGCCTCACAAGCGTAGGGTCTTGAGTTCAACGCCCTGCACCAAATAAAAAAAAAAAAAAAAAAAAAAAAAAAAAAAAAAAAAAAAAAAAAAAAAAAAAAAAAAAAAAAAAAAAAAAAAAAAAAAAGATAAAGCTTATGTAAACTTTATGGAAGCCAGTGCCCCAAATTACAACTATTCTAACCTTTCTACTCACATTTTAGAGAAATTTAAAGCAAATTTTTAGAGAATGATACCCACCCTCTGAGATCAGTTAAGAGGGACATGTATCAACCAACCACACTTGAAAACTTTGAAGTAATGAAGATGAATTTCTGCGGAAATGTAGAAATGAATGCACAAAATCACACAAACACACTTCCTCAAGCGTATATACCATCTAGGACAATTACTCCACAGAAATGTAAAAGAACCTCAGGAAAAATATTTTGATAATTATTTTTTAAAAAGAAAGAAAATAACCATGTAGACATCACAAGCATGATTTATGGCATCAGATTTTCAGGCCTCCATTGTGTAGTACTTATTGGTTCCACAGATTATCTAGAAAAACTAAAGTATTTTGTTGCTACAAATAATATGGTGTAAGTATGGAAATTCACAAAGATTCAAGGTAATAGATACAGACTAGTCATATCTAATTCTGAGATTGTTTTTGTGTATTTTTCTTAACCTTTTACATCTGAAAATCTAAAAAACCAAACCAAATAGTATACCTTAAATTCTGAACAGTCTGATTTCCTTATAGCTCTAAATAGTTTTTCAACTCTGAATCTTATATCAGCACATTCTCTCTGCTTTACTTCCAACTTTGTATGTTTTAAATCATTCAATTTCCTGCCTTTTCTGTCCCTGCCAAGTCCCCATCTTCTTTCTGAAGACAATGATAGCCCTCACTTCCACCCATCCATTCTCCACACAGCAGCCTGAGCACTGTTTTAAAACCCAATTAGTATCACGCACTCCTTTGCTTAAAACTCTACTGCCTTCTCATAACATTTACAACGCAATCCACTCTCCATCAGGGGAAAAATAAAAAATAAAAAAAGAGCCTACACATCCCTGCCTGTGCTTTTCTTCCAGGTCCTTTTTCCATCCCCAACTACAACACAGGACCCAGTCTCCTTCCTGATCACTGAAGAGAGCGAGCCAAGTCTTGCACCTTAAAGCTTTTGCACTTGCTGTCCCCTTTTCCTGGCATATTCTTCCTACAGAGCTCCGAGGGCTGGCATGTTTAGGTCATTCATGTTTTAGTCCTAATCTATACTCAGAGAAGACCATGACCACGTAGTCAAAGAATTCATTCAATCTGTCAATAAATATTTGTTAAATTCCTAATATCAGCCAAGTATGCAATTAGGCACTGGGGATATAATGGTGAACTAAACAAACTAAAAAATACTCAAATGTTTGTCAAATAAATGAACAAGCTCCCCAAGCATTACTGTGCCTGAAGAGTACAGATGCCTTCTTTTGCCTTAAGCCAGTAAGTATGACTGTTCTAGGGTATCATCAAGCATTTCTGAAATTGTTACAATGCTTTACTCAACACTGTGGTCTATCTGTTCTCCCTGATAAATACCATTTAAGAAATTCTTCCTCAAGGTACATACAATTGTAAACTGAGGCTAAGGTGCTCATTTCCAAGTTCTCTCAGGAGACTCTAAAGCCTGGCTAGACCCTTAGAAGGAATCTCTGACTCCTATAGAAAGTCATTTGCCTGTCACTGTGCTACACGAGGCATCTCTGCTGCAGGCAAGTCAGAAGAGACCTAAATGACTCTGAGATCACAAAAGAGGCCAAACGACACACTTACTCTGTGGACACCATTTGTCTTCGGCCCATCGGTTGCAGTTATAGTTATCTCCTGCATTTTCACAGGTAAAACACTTGAAGCTGTTTGGAAATGGTGTGGCTTTAAAAAAAAATATGCAGTAAAATAATAAGGTTAAAAAGGACAAACATTTCAAACATTAAATATAACACAAGATTAGTAACATGTATTGGAGAATTTCTGTTTTTAAGGAACTGGATTTACTCATTGGGCTCTTGGCATTTTCTTGATTCCCTTTTCTTTAGGTGGTTCTACGAAACTCCAATATAGAGTAACAAAATGATTTCCTGAGTCACTTTGAAAAATCTATGGTATTGTTCTATTATAATTTATAATTTGAGAATTAGCGGGGCTTGAAGGAATTGAATGAAGGTAGTAGTCAATCCCTAAAAAGAACTAAATTCCAGATTAACCTGAGGTAGAGTGTTCTTCTTTTCACTAATCAGTGTGTGATTTTTTTAACTTCTGAAATACAACAATATTTATAATATAATAGCAATGGAGACCTCCATGACACAGAGGTATCGTGAGGCAAGAACAATACCTAGTAGGGTCACCAGCTAGTTTCTACCTATATACATTCCCCTCACAGCTACCCCAACCTTAAACAAATCATTTCATTTAATGTATGTTAATATATATCAGTTGTCAAAACAGTAGGCTTTGATGAGGAATGTAATATTTAAAATAAGGATGACTAATTCTTAAGCCCTTATACTCAGGCCAAAGTATATGGAAAGGAAAAATTGTGAATTGCAAACAGTCTGGATTGGGAGCAACTAGGTCTTTTTGTCTTTATGTCTTTGAGGGTGGGGCTTGTATCTTGATATTTTAATAGATGAGAGAAGAAAAATAAAATTATTTGACATTTCTGCATAACCAGGGCACAGGGCTCTGTGTGTTACTTTGATTCTCTCAGTTTTGAAGAAAAAAACTAGACAAAGGTCAAGGTGAACCTCAAACCATACCAGTAACATGACTAGAATTTGAAGTGAAAATTAAAAAGCAGTGGGTATTTCAAATGCCAGGGAGGGTATGCATTAAACAAAGCAAAAGAGTAAAACTAAACTTCAGAGGATGTGAAATTAAATGCTGCAAACATACTTGGTTTATGAATAAGATTTATGATGTAGGTAAATAAATGACATCCATTTTTACTTTTGAAATCTGTTAAGGGTTAAAAAAACAGGTTAAAAAAATGAATAGCCAACGCTGATGAGTATATGACTAAAGTATGAACTGGTACAACTTTTTGATCTAGTTAATTATAGTTCCAGAAAATCCAGTCGAAGATCATAGCAAATCAAAGGTAAAAGTACATTTGCAAAAATTTTTTAATGACAATTTTAATGAATTTAATATTTAACTTGCTTATGTTTCTGACATAAAGTTTGGAGATACAGTTAAATAAGCTAGTGACTAGCCATGTAATTGTTTAAAAATGTAAAGGTAAGGGCCAGGGGTTTGGCTCAGTAGTTCTGCTACCTGCCTTGGAAGTATAAGGGTGTGAGTGCAATTCCCGGTACCACAAAAATAAAAATAAAAAATGTAAAAGGTATTAAAGTATTTTCAAAGACATTAAAAATATTCAAAATATGGTATGCATGGTAAAAAACTAACAAAATTGTTTGTGAGATCTCACTAAATTATGTATTTAAATACACAGTCATAGAAAAACACCAGAATATTCCAAAATTTAAAAAAGAGCTCCTTTGAATATTAGGATCATGACTAAATTTTACTCTCTTCTATACATTTCAGAATTTTTTATAATGAATATATACTATATTTTTCTTTTCTAAAAGAATTTTTCTCAACAAAAATTCTACTAGATTTCAAAAGTTGGATATATGTAGACAATGTAGGGTCTAGGAAAACTACCTGTCATAAGTTTCAGCTATTATACATTTGTTTGTTTGTTTGTTTGTTTTTGTGATACCGGGGATCAAACTCGGGACCTTGCACTTGTAAAGCAGGCGGCAGAATCACTGAGCTAAATCCCTGGTCCCAGCTATTATACATTTGTTAACAACACAGAAATATATAATAAATAATAGTTCAAAGTATATGTATAATACACTTATAAATATTATACATATGCATATGTATAATATATATATATATATATGTGTGTGTATATATATATATATGATTGAGTGTCCTGAAAAATATACAAAACACCAAGAACAGTAATGACATGTATCTCATTTAGGTGTAGTATAAAGACTTTCATCATAATTTTTATATTCCTCCAGAGGTGGGAACTATGGTCATTTATATATATATAAAATCATTACTATTAAAAATCTCTCCCGAACAAAAGTATCAGAGATATTTTTCTTGTTTGAGGGGAAAGAATGGCTTATGAGACAGATTGATTGGTAGATAGATAGAGATGTACACATATGTATATAAAACATATTAACATATATTATCCTATAAATAATATACACTAATATTTGCCCATTTTGGGGGGGTACCAGGGATTGAACTCAGGATCTTGCATTTGCAAGGTAGGTGGCAGCACCACGGAGCTAGATCCTTGGCCCCAATATTTGCCTATTTTAAAACTAGCAATGGAAAAGACGAACTGTATGTAAGCCTTGCTAATTGGTAATTATAATGAAAATCTAGATCATATGCCCCCCAAATAACATTCTAACCTATTTTCAAAATTGTTAAAGGCCATTTGAAAGAATGAACACATAATTTATGCCGAAACTTCCTACAGCCAATAGTCTCCAATGAAGAGATCAACAAAGACTGACTTTCCTCTGCTAAGGCATGATATTGGGGTCAGTATTCAAGAGTTTTTTAAAACAGGAAGCCCTTTAAGTCAACAGCAGGAAGGAAAATCATTTTCAAGAAGTAGAGAAAATTTCTGTCACCATGCTCTTAGCCACAGAAGTGAGAAATCCTTTCTGTTTTATTCTAGGGGCAAACCAAATATTCCAGAAAAAGGCCACATTATGGTAGATGGAAAGTGGGCATCAGATGGGCACTTTGTTACCTCCTGGAAGTGAAGCAGGATGGCAGCCACTACTTACGGTCAAGAGGAGGCCTCACATTGTAGAAGTTGATGTTCTTGGCAAACGCCTGGTTCTCTGAGAAGATAAAGATCTGGATGGTAGCCACAGCTAGAGCACGACAGAGTAGTAGCATTGTGATCTCACGGATTGGACAGGTCAAACTCATATGTCTAAGACGAAAAGATAGATTGGTTCAGCTTATTTTTGTTTTACACATCAATGGAAATTATGTTTTGTTTCTGTCTGAAAAGCTCAATTACTCATATTTTTATTCAACCCTCTACCTGCTGTTTTGGGCTGGTACAAAGTAAGCATCATTCTTTTTGATCAGATGAAAGTTAAGTAATTACTGCCTTCTGCATTAGCCAGGCCCCAGCACTAGCCACCGGTTTCAACAGGACACTTAATGCCCTTCCGGGTTCAGGAAGCACAAGCAGCCTACACTGTCCTGGCTGCACCCCACTCCCCCAGTGCCTGAGGCTGCTGGCTGGCTGTGCTGAATACCTGATATATTAAATTAGCAATGTTACAGGTGTGCTCTGCCGAAGTCACTGGGCCACCTATGTGTCAAATCCTTTTCTTGAATAAACACTTATGGTTGAGAAAGTTTCCAATTCTTTCACTACCTGAAAGAAACCATAAAAGTTAGGGGCAATAGGAAGGACAATGACTAAAAAGACTAAGTCTGGGAAATAAAATATTTTCTGGATCCCAGAGTTTACAGAGAAAACTATGAGTCACTGTGAAGAGCCAGCTCCACCTGCTTCTGGGTGAAAAGAAGAAGCTGCCAGGAAGTTCTAGAGGAAACAGAATAAAAGTCTGAGATAACACATAATGTTAGTCCTGGTCCACAAGTATTACTAAGTACTTTCATAGTCTTCAAGCAGGCAGAGCAATGAAGAACAAATATGTATATGCACTGGGTAAAGACCATCACATCTTAGGCCCCATAACTCCAACCTTCAGAAGCCAACTTGGTAAAAAGCAAATCTGGAATCTTACCACTGATTGCTTCTCTTTGACAAGGGGTCAGTGTGGGCAGCAGAAAAAGATGTAACTTGTATTCCAAAGACTTCAGTTCAGGTGTTGCCTCTGCTGTTTATTAGCTGCCTGACCCTGGCCAAGCTCTTTAAACTCTATTAACCTCAATTTTCTATCTGTAAAGTGGCTTAATAATATCTGGACTGCCTATACATTTGGCTAATTGTGAACCCCAAATACAAGCTCAGATAGGATCACTATAAGACTGTATTAATTAAAGCACTCATAACAAGAGTGAAAATACTGTAATAGTTGAGGTCTGTAATATTGGCTGAACTCATTTTCTTTTTGCTAAACCAACCCTGGTCTCAAAGGCTTAGGGGAAGGTTTAATGTTTGTATGTATACACATGACTCCTTACACAAATGTTTTATTTGAAGCCAGGGTAATAAGTGTGAATACATTAATTTTGCAGATGTGATCAATAATGCAAACGTATGGAGATGCAACTGAATATAAGCAAAATATAGCCACATCTCATATCACTCGGCCAGATAACTTTTGCCATGACAGAACTGAGGCACTATGGATGTACTCAGTGTAAAAGAGAAAACAAAAAAACCTAATAAGTAAATTTAAAATCAATACAATAATGCTAAAATTTACACATGGCATTTTAGATAATTCCAGAATTGTACCTAGATGTATTTTACAATACACAGTTTTTGGTTTTGTTTGGTACAGGGGATTAAACTTGGGACCTTGCGCTTGCAAGGCAGGCAGTGGAACCACTAAGCTAAATCCCCAGCCCTAGACAGTTTTTCTAGTTCATTTTAGAAACCAAGGTTGATCTTTCACAAGTATTGTATTTCACCATTTTATTCTTATATTCTTTCTGAAGAAATAAGACAATTTAGCCAACTATATTATCCCTTCTTGTTGGGTTATTATACTGTTACACATTCTGCTTTCCCCATTCCTTCTCTCAATTGGTCTGTTCCACAATCATTAGGAATCTGTACCTAAGTAATGGATATACTTTCTTTACAATTTAATTTTATTTTATTAGTACATGTTTGAAGCACATGAATTTTACACTCATTTTAGGGAGTAGGTGCATGTACATAGCACAGCTCTACTCTGCTTCACCTTCCTGCCCACCTCCCTCCTTCCTTTTCTAAGTTTCCTTTCCCCATTTTCACTTTTAATGTTATTTTTAGTCCATGTTTACAACATATGTTTACATTCATTGTGGGTATTTGGTATATGTAAGTGACATCTCAAGCTCTTTTACTTCCTTCTCCCCTAACACCCTCCCCACTCCCTTCATTCTCCTGGACCCTTTCCCATTTGCAAAATAAATCTATCTCCCTGTTTCTTTTTAGCAGTCCTTTATTTTGCTCTTTATTTGCACTTCAGATTACTCAAATGAGAGATACCATATAGTATTTAAGCTTGTGTGTCTGATTTATTTCACTTAACATCATATTTTCCAAATGTATCCACTTTCCTACAAATGTCTTAGTATCTACAGAGTATTCCAACCCACTACAATACAGTATACATTTTTCTCTGCAGTACATGGAACTTACTCCAAAATAGATCACACATTGGTCTACACACCCTATTTAAATAAATATAAAAGAATCAAAATCATGCAAGTTTACTATCAGACCACTGTGCAATGAAAATAGAAATCAAGCACTTAAACAGAAAGTTGGTTGTGGTCCAGAGTGACTAGCCGACTGCAGGCAGACCCCACCAGGGCTCCGCCTCAACCCCAGAGATTCAGGCACACCGGCTGAGCCAAAGGCCCAACCAGAAAAGAGCTGCACGGGAACATAAGCTTCAACCAGAGGACCACCCCATACCATCTGCCACATCTAAGCTCCTGCCTGGAAAAGAGCTACACAGTTGCCCGAGCAACAGCCAGAGGCTTGTGCCAATTACCATTGATAAAGCGCATGAAGACCCTAGCCAGAAGCCTATCAGTCAACAGGAACCCGGAGATCACAGCCTCCAGACAAAGGTACATAGAAGCCCCAGCAAGAGGTACACTTAGATACCATCCCAAGTGTGCATAGGCTCCAGGCAGAAACCTGCCCAGACAACAGGTAAGCTCAGGGATCCAGAAGGCCACCATTCTGAACTCAGGAATTGGTGTACTGGTGAGCAGCAGAGAAAAGGCTGCTTGGTGGCTTGCTGAGAAATAAGACCACTGGGTGAGCAAAAAGTTGCCTCAACAAAGGCACAGCAGGCTGCATCTGTTGAAATGAGAAAACATATAAACAAGTCCCCAAACCAGACTTCCAGATCACCCAAGGCAACCCCAAAGGGAAATGAAATGGAACAATCTGATACTCAACCACCTGGATTCCCTGAACTGGCACTGAAAGAGAATCTGGGAAAAATGAAATCAGAAATAATTTCTCAGATAACAGCAGATATTGTGCTCATAGTGCAAGACATGATTAATAAATCTAAAGTGGGTTTGGCCCAGCACAGCAGAGGAGCCTGGCAGCAGCTTGCAACCCTCTGGTAGACCCACCCCTTTGGCCCAGCACAGCACAGGAGCACTATACAGTGGTGTCCATGCCCATCTCCATGAACAAGAGAAAGAGGGCCTCTCTGAGGCTCCTAGATGAAAATTGAAGCCCACTGGAAAAGTGAAGAAAATCTCTGTGAGAAAGGCACATGACACCACCATAGTTGGTGAGTCGGAGGGACCAGCACTTCACATCCGAACCTGGTCTAACTACAGGGGAAAGACAGCTGGAATCTGCAGTAGAACCTTGCAGCATTCAACCCAGCAGGAGGTCAGAGATCTCAACGTGGGCCCTGCAAACAGAAATCAGCCTGAACCTCAGAAGACAGCTGCTGGCTTGCTGAGATTAATTAACTTAGATCCGCACACTCCTGCCCATGCTGTCTATTGTGTCAACAGAGGCATACCCTGAAGGAGGCCCTCTATTTCTATTTGTGTTTTTATTTTCAAAGTAATATTTTTCTATCTTTAATCATTTAAAAATGTATCTATCTTTTTTCTTAATTTTTTCCTTTTTAATCTTCTTTTTCTTATCTTCTTTTCTTTCTCTCTTTTTGTAACTCTCTCTTCCACCTTGATCTTCATTTCTCTCCCTTTTGTTCCTGTTCCAATCCTAATTCAAATTTATTTTCTTTCTTTTCCTTTTCTTTTTCCTTCTCTCAGTTGCCCTTAGTTTTAAAAGAGTGATTACAGTCTAGCCTCCCTATTGCTGTTAGTTTGTTCTGTTCTTGTGTATATTTTGTTCTGTCTTCTTTTCTCTTTAACAGCTTCCTAGAGTTTGTGTGATATTCCTGTGTCCTCTGACCTCACTTCTAACCTTTCTCTATCCTATCTATCTGTCCCCCCACCCCGGACCTTCTAAATCTCCATCCTGTAGGATAAAGTTGCTATGTTGAAGAGTTTATTCACTATAAACATATTTTGTACTGGTTCTCGATTTTTATTTAATTCACACAGTTAAAGGTGATAGATTAATAACTACCACAAATGGACTTTTTCAAGCTGTGCTTGATGCTATTGTGTTGCTGATTGTATCACTTGGACTAAGGTATCACTTATGATTGATCTAATCAGTTGTCTTCCCTCCTATAATGAAAATGAGATTACCTCAGAGTCAGTAGGGACTCAAAAGCTAAAGACCAGATATATCTGGAAGATCAAAGCATTAACTCAGGAATTAAACCAAGGACAGTACCAACAACAAAATTAGAAATGGGAAGACATTTAAACAAGGCACAAACACAGACTTCCACCTCTCCAAAGGTAAACTGTGGAGGAAATGAGGTGGAAAAGTCTGAGAGTCTACCATCTGGACACCTTGAACTAAAAGCACAGGAAGTAACAAAACAGATAAATGAGTCTCTAGAAAAATTCAAAACAGAAATAACTTCCCAGATAACCACAGAGATGGTGAGAAGAATGAAAGACATGATTAGAGACTCTAGAACAGAAACAGATAAAAAATTAGATGAGCTCAGGACCATGATGGAAACCATGAATTCCCAGCATAGGAAAGAAATGGAATCCATGAAACAGATTCAAACAGATATCCAGAAGATTAAGCATTCTATAAAAAGCATTTGAAGCAGAATGAATGAATGTGAAGATAGGATTTCAGATATAAAAGATAGGATTGTGGTCATA